CGATCGGGGGAAAAGCGTACAGCCGAAGCCTCGGCCAAGTCTGTACCATCGCATCCAGCCCCAGTGGCGCTGGATGAGTCAGAGAGAACCAGAGGGGACATTGCAATGTCGTCTGAGTCGCAAACAAGTCCACCTGAGCCTGGCCAAAAACTCTCCATATCTGCTTCACCACCTCGGGGTGAAGCATCCATTCCCCGGGCCTCGGCCCCTGCCTCGACAGGATGTCTGCCCCCATATTGAGATGCCCAGGAATATGCACTGCCCTCAGCGAGAGGAGCTTGCCCTGGGACCACACAAAGATCTGATGCGCCAGCTTGCATAAGGGGCGCTAACGCAGACCTCCCTGGTGGTTGATATAAAAGACCACCGCTGTGTTGTCGGTGCGCACCAGCACATGGCGATGACTGCCGTGATGATCGACTCGATCCGAGCAGGAGATAAACATGCCTGCATCCCCACACCACACCCAGATAAGTGGTCCTCTGTAATGGAGACAGCACACTTTTCTTGGCATTTCGTCTTAACCCCAACTTTCCCATATGAGCGAGAACGACATCTCGATGCCGAACCGCCGTCTGCTCTGATTGAGCTAAAATCAACCAATCGTCGATGTAATTGAATATGCGGATGCCCTGGAGCCGCAGAGGAGCCAGGGCAGCATCCACACACTTCGTGAAAGTACGGGTTGAGAGTGCTAGGCCGAAGGGAAGGACACGATATTGGTAAGCCTTGCCCCTGAAAGCAAACCTCAGGAACTTCCTGTGACTGGGAAGGATGGAGACATGAAAATAAGCATCTTTTAGATCTATCGTGACGAACCAGTCCTCGGACCTGATCTGAGACACGACCTGTTTGACAGTGAGCATTTTGAACTTCAGACGCATGACTTGAAGGCGTTCCCCTAGCGTTTTCCGACGCAGCTCGAGTTCCCGAAGGGGAACTCTACATTTTCAACACAGAGGGCCTCATTTACGAAACTAACGTACGACAGAAAATTGGGCGTTTGGTCGTTTCAACGCAACGTTATCAATATGGACATGAGCGGTGGCTACGATCAAATCTCACGTCTGATCTCAGCTCGTGTACGCAAGTTTTTGAGTTACCTGAACTTGCGCAGAGCATAGTAAATACAGTGGACAATTGTAGATTGACAGCATTTTGTTCATTTTTATATTCCTGACCGTCAAACGAAGCTCATTAGTCGATCATTAACCAGTAAGATTATAATGTATTTTTTTGTTGTTGGTTTGTACAGGGCTTTAGCTTTATATGCACGCAGCAAGACCGTGAGGATTCAATCGTCGCATCATGCACCTGCAGCGCTTCTGTGAAAGGAGAAAAACAGAAATTAAGTTTATAAAAGGAATAAAATCAATAGGATCACACAAAATATATAATAGGCTATAATATAATTAACAGATTAACAAAAGGGGGAAAAAACACTGCAACAAGTATAGGCTACGCTCATTTTTTTGACACTCTTAATGCATTTAATTTATTTTCTTTATATCTTTATTTGATTTAATCCATCTGATCGCACAGGCGCCTCACGCACACACAAACAACATTAGTATATCAACATACGATCATTTGTACGGTGAGATTGGCGGCATACGAATGTTTCATAAATCACACGTGAACTCTGTCGTAAGTTGATTTGTGCGCACAGATCTGCGCTCGTTTCTGATAGATTGATAAATGAGGCCCAGAGTGTTTGTGTTGATGGTTATTTCAGTTACCATCTGCATTTTACTACACATTTTATTATAAACACAGTCCACAGAACTCTTTTTTTTTACCCCAGTGTATGCATAAAATATGAAAAGCATCACTGTTTTTATAAATACTGTAAAATACTACAGTAAAAGTAGTAGATCTTTTTATATATATGTATATATATAGAAGTAAAAACAATTAAGTTATTATGAAAAAACAGTAATAGGTGTCACAATCACCAACTGGAGTGCTCATGAGCTCCACCAGTGGTCACTCCATCCCTGACTTTTGCCATTAACCCTGGACTACATTCCCATAATCCTTTGCCAGACTCATCATCTATTGCATCACCTGTCTCTCATTAGATCTCATCATCAGTTCACAGCTATCTCACATTAGAAGGACTTTAAAAGATGCACACACACTCTAACACTTCGCTGATGAATGCTTAGCCTGTAGCGTTCTCCTGGTTTCCCCGAGTTTCATTCCTGTGTTTTTTTTTGCTCTGCCTTGTCTT